TTCGACATCAATCATCAGGTTGACCCGGTCGTCAAGTTTGTGGCTGACGATGTACCTGACTAGGAACTGGAATGTATTGAGCGTTTCGCCTTTGCGTCCTATGAGCAGGCCTGCATCGTCCCCTTCGATTTCGAAGATTGGGCCATCCAGATCTTCGTTGTGTAGCTGCTTGAGGGTCAGAACAACATCCGCGTCGAGCAGGTCGATAAGTGACTCGATCACTTCAGAAGCAACCATTACGCTGTCGGGGGCCGACTCGATCGCCGCTCACCATCCGGTCAGCCCGGTCAGGTCAGGGCCTATCCGAGAATTCCAGATCTGACTCGCGACACGACGCGTCTATTCTACGTCGCTGCGGTCTGCGTCTAGTTCCTTTAGAGCTAGCTCGATTGCTTCTTCTACCGTTCTGGCCGATATCTCTATCTCCTTCATCGGTTGTCTCCTCGACAGTTGGAACTAGCGCGGACGCCGACTGCGCCGAGACTGCGGCGGACTCATCGGACTGACCGCGCCCAAACTTGAACAGGTTTATGATGGGGTCCCAGCCGGTAACGAAGCCCTGAATTACCAGGCCGACAACGTTCGACACTACCCAGTACAGCGCCAGGCCACTCGGGAAATTCAGGGTGAAGAACCCGAACATGGCCGGCATCATCCACAGCATCATTCTGTTAGTAGATGCCTGGCGCTCATCTGCGCTAGGCATTGTGGTCATCTTCTGCATGACCCACATCGAAACACCAACGAGAACCGGCATGACGAACGGAGTCGGGTCGGGTCGCGCAAGGTCCAACCACAGGAAACTGCTGTCGATGGGAATTACACCATGCACCTGTGGAATCCATTGTACAGATGTCGCGAAAGACCTACAAGACTCTCCGGATTGGAAGGAACAGTTTGAATGATCGACTGGTACAGCCCTATCCAGATCGGGAACTGAATGAACATCGGACCTAGGCAGCCCAATGGATTGACGCCGCGGTCTCGATAGAGCTTCATCGTCTCCTGGGACGCTCGCTGCCGGTCTCCCTTGTGCTTGTCTGGATCTCCTTCATGAGAGGTTGGAGCGCGCTCATGGACTTGATTTGGCGACTCTGTTTGACCGTAAGGGGCACCATCACCAACCTGACTATTAGCGTGAAGGCGATAATTGCTCGATCCCGAAATCGGAAAAAAGGAAGTAGTAAAGCAGAACCAGCCCGTTGATCATCGGTTGGATGATCGCAAAGTTCCATGCTTCTACGAGTGGTTGGAGAAATTCCAATGGCTGTCCCTAATTAGCACTTCTTCGGCCTACCGCTGGGGTGCGGATCATCGGCGTTGGTGACGAAGACCCACTCTTCGTCAGGATTGCCATTTCCCTTGATACGGAGTGCCCCGATAGTACTGTCTGTCGCTCCAAAGTATATCAGGTCACCATCCCCCTCAAGTGAGGTACGCACATCCTCGCCTATGCGACACGCAGCTAGAAAGCTGCCATTAGGTTCAAGAAGCGCGATGCGGGAGTCCCCGCCGTCGGCGACCGGAACGGCTAACATGCCGTTGATAGTCACCGGACTGCCGACGATCTGTCCGCCCTCGGTGTCGAACACCCAAGTCAGGTCGCCGGTTGTCGCGTCAATCGCGTACAGGGCACCATCGAGAGACGGGGCGTAAACTACGTCATCCAAAACTAGGGGCTTGGCCCAATACCAGCCCGAGGCGCCATCGAAACGCCATACAAGATCGCCTGTCTTCATGTTCAGTGCATACAGGGTGCTGTCGAAACCACCGAAAATTACAAGCCCGCCAGCGACAGCAAGGCCAGAGCCTACCGCCCCACCAGAGGTGAATCGCCACATCTCCGCGCCGTCTTCCAGACTGACAGCGTACACATTGTGGTCGAGGGACCCGACGTACACGACGCCGTCATGCACGGTCGGAGACGACCAGATCGGGCCGTCGGTCTGGTACGTCCAGTCAGGGTCGTTTGTGGTCATGTCTATTGCGTAGAGCGCGCCATTCGATCCGTCCGACGAAGATACGCTACCTGAGCCGACGAGAACGTGATCGCCGTAGACGGTTGGGCCACCGACAATTCTGCCGGACAGAGGCTCCTGCCACATCAGGTCGCCATCGTTCTTGTCATAGGCATAGAGGCTGCCGTCGTATCCGCCAACGAAGACCGTGCTGTCCGTGACTGCCGGACGCCCATAAACGGCCCGATCGGAGTCTTCCAAAGTGGGCAGCTGCCGCCTCCAGGTCAGATCCCCTGTCTCCTTCTGTACAGCGAGTATCTCCCCCTCCATTGTTCCGATGAAGAGGTTGTCACCGGAGACGTTTCCAGCAGACCAGCCCTGCGGTGTCGCGATCCGAGAGCACCCAACCAGCACAATACATAAGCATAGCGCCAGGATGTAGCACACCCGTCTAGGACGCGGCCCCCATTCTGTTACGAACCTTGTTACTTCACTCATTGGAGCGACACCATCGTCCGTGCTGTCCGCAGTCTTGCATAGTCCAAATCAGGGAACGGGATCATAGCCGCTGGAGCCTAGCGGTCGGCACCGACCCAGTCTTCTAACCGCCAGCCAGCAGCCATTGGCCAGACCGTGCTTGCTTATAGCATCGTGTGCATACTCTGAACAGGAAGGCAAATGCCTGCACACCGAGGGCAAGTAGGGCGATACTGCCTGTTGATATAGGCGAATTGCCTGAAGGGCAAACTTCTGAATCACTTGCCTTGCCGTTCGCTGTTTCCATTGCTTAGGTGCGCCCGAAGTAGCAACCTGCCGAGAGAAGCTTTCAACGCATGGTAGTCGGCACTTCGCGCACGTTGACGAGCTATAAGCACCAAGTCCCAACCACACTTGACGTCGGCCTGAGAGACTGCTGATTTGAGCCGACGCCGGATTCTGTTGCGTTCGACCGCGTTTCCGAGTCGCTTGCTCACAGTAAAGCCGAACCGTGAGACCTGTGTGTGGTTCGGCCGAGCGTTAAGAACCAGTACGGCATCAGCCCAACTCCTTCCTCCCCGCCTGACAGACGCAAAGTCGGAAGTCTTCCTCAACCTGTTAAGCCGATTTAGCGTCACTCGCTCCGCCAGCTAAGTTTACGCCCGCCCGGCCGCGCGGTTGAGGGGAGTGTGGATGGTGCCAGTATCCGACCGACTACGATCAGACCGTCAACTTGTGACGGCCCTTGAACGTTCTCCTCTTGAGAACATTTCGGCCGGGCTTGGTGCTCATTCTCGCTCTGAAACCATGCACTCGGGCACGGCGTCTGTTTCGCGGTTGATAGGTTCGTTTTGGCATATTTAAGCAACCTTAAGTTGATCGAATTATAGTGACTGGCAGAAATGAGTGTCAATTTAGGGCCGTCGATTAAGATGGCAGAGAGGAGGACGGGGGAGAATTAAATGACAGGTTTGAGACCTGCCCCAAGCCTCAATGTTCAACCTAAGTTGTGGGTAGATGTGCTGTATCTCCAGTCCGGTGCCGCCAGATCGGGATTCGAGCGGCCATGTCCCTGACACAGTTTACCAGAGATACTGACTCCGGCTTCTGCAGGAACGCTGGACCGACGTGAAGCGTCGCCGGATCGTTAATGTCCATGAACGGACCGTGGTACGGCGAGTGGGGCTCGAAAGTACTGACGTGTATCGCGAATGGCCCGTCTCTGTTGGACTCTATTGATTCTGTCGATCGGTCACCGAGGAACGAATCCAAACTGATGCCCTTCCGGCACATCATGATGAAGACGATGTTTGGGTTGTCCAGCATATAACATTTCCCTGCTTCGGAGTCCTGAGCAATTACTCCCTTGGCAATTGGCCTCGCAAGAAAACCTTGAGTAGCGCCTCGTTGGCAGCGCTGGTCAGCCTGCGGTTGATCTGACCATCCTTGCCAATAAAAAATGTCGTAGGCAGCGAACGGACCTCGTAGGCCCGTACAATTTCGTTGGTCTGGTCCAGTCCGACTGGATACGTAACCCCGGCCTCCTCAGCGAAACCCTGCGCGTCCTCTAGCGTGTCCGACATCGCTACACCCACGAATACCACGTCTTTGTCTCGGTACTCATTCCACATGGTTTCGAAGAACGGCATTTCCCACCTGCATGGCGGACACCACGATGCCCAGAAGTTCAAGACAACAACCTGGCCTTCCAATTCGGACAGCCTAAGCATGTCGCCATCGAACGTTTCAATCTCAAAGTCCGGTGCAGCCTTGGACTCTGTCTGCGCTCGGCTCTTGATGACCCTTGGTGTCGGAGCCGGAGTCGCCGTCACCGTCGGCACGGGTGGAGTCGTGGGCTCAGGAGTTGGGGGTGGTGGCACAGGCGTCGGTTCGGGAGTAACCGTAGGCAACTCTGGTACAGCCGACGGTGTCGACGTCAATGAATCTGGGACAGGCGACTGAGAGCAGGCAACCGTAAGACACATGACCAAAAGCACAAGGACAGCTAAAGGCGTTTTCATCGTACACTCACTCTTGAGCCGGACCAACATATCGAGATTATAGCGGAATCCTAGATTCGTGCGACCGGCATGGGACCATACAGCCCGCGCTTGACCGAAAGAAAGCACGTGCACTATTATCCAACCAACTCACCAGTCCGCCACAGTCGGTCACCATTGCGTGTCACCAGTATCCTACGAAAGCCGCACATCTCTGCTCAGGTGGAATGACTACCTGACCGGTAGGACATGCACGCTAAAGATCGCCGACTCAGACGCTGCATCCCCAGTAAGCGCCCTGGCGGCGAAGTATCTGACCGGCGTTGATCCTATTTCCCTGGCCGATAATGGCATGATCCTTCCTGAGTCTGTCGCCTCTCTATTGGACATCCAGGACGTGGTCCACTCGATCACTGACGACGGCAGACTATCCACAATAGTGCCGGGAACCATTTTTAGATCTGGCGCCCGCGAGTTATCACCGCAGGACGTCCTTCCGACTACATCTGCCAGAGTTCGGGATTCCGAGGTGGACCTAATCGACCTGACGATAGACCGCAGTGAGACCGGCTACCCACGTAACTGGGCAGGGTTCAACAGACGCCGATGGGAACGCCATGCTGACGAATTCCTGTCTTTCGCGGAGAGTTCGGCTCAAGGTCTGGGAGAGCCCTACGGTGATGACGTACTTGCGCTGGACAGCCACGATGCCCGGGTCGCGTTTCTGAAGATGGGTTGCAAAGGCCATCTGGGACAGCCCATTTGAGAACTACTCGCGTTTCACGGGACGTCGGCTGCGATACAAGACGGGAGATGAGGCGCTCATAAGCATCATCGAGGGACGGGGCGCAATCTGCTCGGAGAAGGTGCAGGCCCTGAAGTTTGTGACAGATCGATACGGATTCGAGTCTCACTACGTATTCGCTGGCCCGGATGTCCCGGGGCCCATCCCACTGGACCCGCTCAGGCACGTCCTGGAAACATTCGACTTCCGTGAGGCTGGACCAGCTATGAGGTACTGGCAACACATGGCGCTGGAGTTCCAGGTAGATGGCGAGCATGTGTTGGTTGACGCCACGAACGGAAACATTCCGTTCATGTTCATACGCGGCCCTGAAGTAGCTCAGATTCTAGATGCAGGGCAACCGCGAGCGGTCCCCGTACAGATGGGAACATACCCGGAGGATTTCTACTACCATCGTGCCCCCCGGGATCTGGCCCTGGACCTGTGCTACGCAATGGAGCACTTCATACCTGAGATTGACCTTGTCCAGGTGTTCGATAACGAACTCGGCCTCGCGATAACTCCCGAATTCCTTGTGTCTCCCCTACCGTACCAGTCGGTTGTCGAGTTCGACGCTCTGATTGAGATGTACGAGCGCCTGGCGGAGCCAAGTGGACTCGCATTCGATGCAGACGCAGAGTGGAGGCTCGATGGGCCGGTAGGTTCGCAATTCCGAGAGGTCGAACCCGCCGCCGCCGAGCTAGTTCTGGACTCATACGAGCATCTGCTCGACCGGTATGGCCAGTTCGAGGATAATCGTCACGAAATGGGCTTAGCTATCATCCGACTCAGAGCCAGCCAATGATCAAGAGAGTCCGACCAAGCAACCACACAGACCTCCTGATACAGGCAGTAGCCAGCGCGCGCCAGTCCCGTTTCTGGAGTCAGAAGCTGGGTGACCAGCCAATTAGATCGCAGGCAGACTTCGACAGGCTCCCCTTCACCTCAGTCGACGAGTACCGGACGCAGAATTTCGACTCGGTGATTGCCGACCCCGACGGGCATAGAGTGGATACCCGGTCCGTGGCTCGGACAGTCGGCTGATCGAGTTCCAGTTGCAGAGGGGCCGGACGAAGCGCAGGTGCGAGTCGAGCTAATGGCCGATGCAATCGGGCCGTCGCTGCCCGAGGACGTCCGTCGGCTCAAGCGCGCTGGTGATAACTGCGGGGAACCGCCGCCACTTCGGGGCTGAGATGTGCGCGGTGCTGGTGCGTATGGGCGTTCAGGCACACCTGGTAACCGACGAGGCAACCGATAGGATTGAAAGTCTAATCCGAGCCTTCGAGCCAGACGTGGTAGCCGCACTTTCCTGGGCAATTGACCTGAAGGCTCTTCCTGACACAGTCACTGGTATTGTCACTGCGGGACGTGGGGCATCCTCTGATGGGAAACGGCACATTGACCTGTTCATTCAGAACGAACTGGGAGTCTTGGGCGCCTCCGTTGGGTCCGGTAGCTACATACTGAACCATCATAGTTTAACTTCGAGGAGTCGCCCGAGGGGACCTTGTCAGTGACACCTTACTACAGTAGGGTTCAGCCGCTCGTTCGGTTGGATACTGGGATGCCCGCGTCTGTGTTAAATTGAACTCATGGATCGCTTTCGGACAGGCGAATTGATCTCGACAGAGGCTCTGGTCGCGCTGAATGTCCCAGAGACGCCGGCATACGTGTACTCCGAGTCCATACTACGCAGCACCGCAGCAGACGCGCTCGCCCTGGCCTCATACGCGGGTTGCAGGCTGCTCTACACCCTGAAGCCGTGTGGCCTGGCTGGTGTTATGAAGACCATCGCACCCTACGTCCACGGATTCGCGGCGAGCTCCGTGTTCGAGGCCAGACTCGCCCGAGAGGTCGCGCTGGAAGGACACAGCCTCCACTGCTACTCGCCAGCGTTCTCTTCCAATGACATAGATGAACTGCTGTCGATCGTCGACTACCTCTCGGTCAACTCTGCTACCCAACTGGAGATGGCGGCGGCGCTGAGCCACGGTACGGCCTCCATCGGATTGAGAGTCAATCCCGAGATGGGGTTCGCAGCCGATACTCGCTACGACCCCAGTCGTCCTCATTCCAAGCTCGGCGTACCGAGGTCGGACTTCCGCAGTCTTCTAGGCACATCACACATCCTCTCCCAGATAGAAGGGGTTCACGTACACAATAACTGCGAGTCCGAAGACCTGTCTCAACTAGCAGCAACAGCCGAGTCACTCGTGGACGTTCTGAGAACGTTGGATCATCCAACTTGGGTGAACCTCGGCGGTGGCTACTACTTGGGATCCGACATCAATCCAGAGCCCCTGAAACATGCTGTGCAGAGGCTCGCCTCGGAGTTCGGAGTAACGGTTTTCATAGAGCCCGGGACTGCGCTGGTCCAACAGGCGGGTATGCTTGTGTCGGAAGTGCTGGACGTCTTTGAAAGTGGCAGCAGGCACATTGCCTTAATCGATGCGTCTACAAGTCACATGCCAGAAGTATTCGAGTACGAGTTCACCCCTACCTTGGCCGGGCTTGACGAGGGTAGCAATTGCAATACGATTCTGGCAGGCAAGTCATGCCTGGCAGGGGACGTGTTCGGCGAGTACAGTACTCTGGAACCGCTTAGGGTGGGCGACCGCGTGGCTATCATGGACGCCGGTTCGTACAGCCAGGCCCGAGCGGCACCGTTCAACGGCATACCCATACCCTCCAGCTATATTCTGCGAGAGGACGGTCGGTTCGAAATGCTGGCAGCCTACGGGTACCAGGACTTTGCAGCTCGTAATGGGATGGTCGCCGTTGCGTTTGCTTGAACGGGCCGCGACCATTTCCCCGAGGCACTTGGACTTCGGGGCGATTGAGTCCGAGATCACGAGTGCTCTGGACAAGAGCGAGACGGCAGTCCGGTTCGCAGTTACGAAGTCGGGGCGTGGCGGATGGGAATGCGAGTTAGGCGTGATTCACGGGTCGTCCCCCGGCTGCCCGACGCCGCTCTTCACATTCCGTCGGCGCGGCCTTGAGGCTCAGGACAAATTCAATATCGCGATGGTAGTTCCCACTGGGATCGGCGCGGAACTCGGTGGTCACGCCGGGGACGCAACCCCGGCGGCAATCGCACTGGCGCAGGTGGCCGACACGTTGATAACGCACCCGAACGTCGTTAATGCTTCTGACATTAACGAGCTCCCTGGGAACGGCATCTACGTTGAAGGGAGCGTGCTTGCGCGGCTGTTGATGGGCACAGTGGGGCTGAGCCCGTCCCGCGCGAATCGCGTACTCGTGGCGCTGGACGCCTCATACAACGAGCGCTACGCCGCGTACACGGTTAACGCCGTGAACGCCGCGAGGTCCACCTATGGTCTGAACTGCATTGGGATCGAAAAAATTGAGCCCCCGTTGAGGCTCTCAGGCGGATACACGCCGACAGGCCGCGCTTCAGGCTCCGTGGAAGGTTTCGACGGGCTCATCGATCTTCTGCAGCACAGACGGGACGCGTACGACGCGGTCGCGGTCGCGTCGGTGGTGGAAGTCCCTCCGCACTACCACTTCGACTATTTCACGAGCGGCGGGGAGATGGTAAATCCGTGGGGAGGAGTCGAGGCACTTCTGACCCACGCTGTTTCATCGATCATTGAAGTACCCACGGCGCACGCGCCTATGATGGAGTCGGACGACATCGCTGCTGTGGATCCGGGAATCGTCGACGCCCGTATGGCAGCCGAGGTGATATCGATAACTTTCTTCCAGTCCGTACTCAAGGGGCTACAGCGATCCCCTCGCATCGTCACTGAGGAGTCGGAATTCAGCCGTCCAGACGTTATGACAGCAGAAAACGTCTCATGCCTGGTTATGCCGGAGGGCTGTCTCGGCTTACCAACGCTGGCTGCTCTGCACCAGGGCATACCCGTCATCCAGGTTCGCGAGAATCGGAACTTGATGAGAAACGACCTTTCCGCCCTTCCTTGGAGACCCGGCCAATTCTTCGCAGCCGATAACTACTGGGAGGCCACCGGCATTGCCGCCGCGCTCAAGGCAGGCATAGACCCGGACTCCGTCCGAAGACCGATCAAGACCATGCGCGCGCACATCGATGACCACTCAACCCGGTGAGTCAGCCGTACGACTAGTGGGCACCCCGTCGATTGCAGAGGTCGAGGCTCTGCGCGGGATGATGTTGTACTGCCTCGATCACTTTCCGACATACCAACACCTGTTCCGGACGGCCGGGTTCGAGCGAGATTCAATTCTGTCTGATGACCCTTTCGGAATTCTCCGCAAACTGCCCACTATCGATTCCGAGCATGTGCGTCGCCTGAGCGCAGAGGCCCTGTCTGCTGCCAGGACGATCGTCGATACTGAGACTTCCTCCGGTACGGCCGGTGGCAGGAAGATTCGATTCATTACGCACGAAGACAACTTGGCCGAGCACGAGTTTCTTGCTCGACTTCTGTCTGTCGCAGGCGTTAAAAGAGACGACAGGGTAGCCTGCGTCGATACGGACCCGGCAGCAGTGATGGTATCGTTCCCCTGGGCCTGCGAACTGCTCGGAACCACGGAGTCATATTGCGTGAGCACCGGGAATCGCTTCGACAGATGCCTAAGCCTACTGGAACGTCTCCAACCCACAGTGTTGATAAGTGTGCCATCGATCATCCAACGGGTATTGGACGAGAACGCTGGAGGTACGATCGAGTCCGTTCGCGCGGTCATACATATCGGTGAAGGAATGAGCCGGACCACGCGGGCGAGGGTTGCCAGTGCGTTTGGCGCTGAAGTCTTCTCGTACTACGGATCCAGTGAGACATCGGCAATCGGAATCGAATGCGTCGCCCATGAGGGCGTACACCTGATGGCATCGCGCCACGTCTTTGAGTTGGACACAGCCGGGCATCAGGACACCCAGGGCGAGCTAATTGTCACGACGCTAGCTCAGCGTGGGCTTCCCCTACTAAGATACAAGCTCGGAGACCTGGTCCGGTTACGCCGGGGATGCTGTGGCTGCGGACTCGATGACCCAAGGGTCGATGTGCTTGGACGTTCAGACCCATTCGCCTCAATTCTTGGGTCCAAGATTCATCACGGCGCTATTGTCAGCACCCTACACGGCGCTGGTCTGGATGGACCAGTACAGGTCGTACTCGACATCGCAGATCGTCTGGAAGTAATGATCCTGCGAGTATCAGACACCAACGCCTGCATCGTAGATTCCATGCGCAAGGCAGTACTGGCCGACCACGCCGACATGGAATTCCTGGTCGCCAGCGGCCTGCTGGAAATCCGGTTCGATCTCCGGCCTTCTCGCGAGCTTCTTGCAGAGCGAAAATCCGACAAGCTGATCGACCTTCGGAGCACAACGTGAATCAGGCACTCGGACGCCCGATTCGTTCCGAGCCAGCACTTAGCCTGTCTCAAGCCGTGGAAGTTGCGCGCCGCTCACGGGAAAGGGGATCCGAGTCACTTTCCGACACGGACCTGGAAGCGTTTCTACACTACTCGGCAGCTGGCTCACTTTCAGAGGAATGTACAGACAGTCGCATCGCTGACGCGCTCGCGGCGGTGGACACTGCCGTCCGAAGACGGGTGGGCATCTGGCGGGCCGCAACGTGGCTTCCCGGCGATCTCAACGGCAAGATCAAGTGCGCAAGAGCGCGGGCGGAAGATGCGCTCCTGCCACCGCGTGCCTGGACAGGACGACAGCGTTCTCAGTCGAACGAGGATGCGGCGTGCCTCGCACTAACAGAACTGATCTCAAAGCTGAGGACCCAACACCCTACTGAAGTCAGGTTGACTGCCGACTTCTATAAGTTACTCGAATCAGTTGATGACGCCGGCTGCCTGCGGTTCACGCCTACTGAGCAACAGCTTACCGCAGCGACGCTGCTGCTCCGCGACTTTATCGTGGAGATGGACGCAGGTGAGGGTAAGACGCTCGCGTCTGTAATGGCCGCCGCGGTGTTCGCAGCATCTGGACGCAGCGTGCACATTCTCACGGCGAACGACTACTTAGCCACCCGCGACTGCGACGCTCTGGCGCCCGTGCTCGAATCGTTGGGGCTTACAGTCGGACTGGTTATCGATGGTATGGACAGGCAGGATCGAGAGATCCAGTATGCGGCCCAGATCGTGTTTACCACCGCACGCGAAGTCGGCTTCGACTATCTGCGAGATAGCGTAGCCGAGTCGTTCGACCGGCGCGTAAACCCGACTTTCGACGTCGCAATTGTTGACGAGGCGGACCACCTGCTCATTGACCAAGCCAGGACACCACTGATTATCTCCGGTGATAGGATCCCTGAACCAGTACTCGGACCGGACCTGGAGGCCCTTGCTATCGAATTGATAGAGAAGCAGTCGGTCTCTATCGATGCGCTATACCAGAACCTGGCGCTAGAGGCAAAAGCTCTCTCCCAGAATCTAGCGAAGATACTCCTGGCTGGCGGGTTAACCCCCAGACTGGAGTCCGAACTGGACAGGCAGGGCATCTCCACACGCCAGGTCTTCAGCGACCTCTGGCGTCTGAACGACGAGGACGAAGGCAGTCCACTGGAGCGAGACCTCCTATTCGCAATCGACCCAGACCGGTCGACGCTGCGACTGACTGAACAAGGTTGGGAGGAAGTGTACGGTAGGGTCGACGGCCCAGTATCCGCCTTCGGGACGATCCAGGCTCTGAGAGCGAGGGTCCTTCACGACGCCGGAACTGACTATGTACTGGACCAGGGCGACATCACTCTCGTAGACCGGCTCGATGGGCGACCAATGTTTTCCCATCGTTACATGCACGGCCTACACGAGGCGCTTGAGTCCAAAGAGGGCCTGGGCCGCCATAATCGCGCGGACGCTAAGGCGCGCACCTCGATAAGGGCGCTAATGTCGAATTACAAGACTGTCGCCGGACTCACAGGTACCGCAATGGAGGCGGCGGACACCTTCGCACGTGAGTACGGTATCCAGACCGTCCGGGTTCCCGCCGAATCCGAGTCCCCGCAGGACGGACATGGGCGCGGAGGTCTTCTTCGACCGAGACGAACACATTGAGCGCGTTGTAGAGGAGGTCGCACATTGGCACAGCCTCGGGCGTCCAGTGTTGGTCACGACCGGAAGCGTGCGAGAGTCTGCTACTTTCAGCGCAGCCCTGGTTGAACGGTCCATACCTCATGGTCTTCTCAATGCCGAGAACGCCGAATCCGAGTCCGAGATAGTCGCCCGCGGAGGTGAACTCGAAGCAGTCACAATCTCGACAGGCATGGCTGGCCGGGGCACCGATTTCGTCGTCGACCACGAGGTGGATTCGATGGTAATCAAGAGAACCGTCACACTTGCGCGGAGAATGTTGGAACGAGGTCGGTCCGCAACATTTGTATGCCCTTCCCACGAAGAATCCGAGGCGCTATTGCATGCCTTGAACGAGGTCGAAGGCATCGAAGCGCAAGTGCGGAACTCCACGTCCATGAACGAAGTCGTAGTCAGCCCCCTCCGGTCTGGTCCGACGACCGAGCAACGATTGTCGTTTGGACTAGGGCTGGTGGTCATCATCACTTCGCTCCCAAGCTCCGCAAGGGTAGAACGGCAGACACAGGGAAGAACCGGACGGCAGGGAGCTTTCGGAGCCTCTAAAGTTGCTGTGTACATCAACGACCCTGCCCTGGCGTTCTCCAGGCGCCAGGGAGACATCGCCAAATTGAGCAGAACTGCAAGGGGAACTGTCGTAGGTCCTGAAGTCGGCCAAATACTGCGACAGGTCCAGGCCGACGCGGAAACGCAGAGCGAGGCAGTTACACGGGCACTGTCCCAGTACGAGGCACTCGTGGAAAGCGAATCGCGAGCCCACTACGCTACCCGTGTGGAAATGATGGGTTCCCACCAACTGCCTGCCTCACCAACTAGAATGATCTCCGATTGGGTCATGCGCAGGACAAACTGACCTCGACGATCAGCGGACCGACTACGAAACGAGGTTTGCGATCGTCTCCGATGGCCTGTGGCATCAATATGGCATCGATATTGGCACGTCGGTCCACTTAACCCCGACAGAGGTCAGACAGGACCTGGAATTTGAAGTGCACAGGCGACTGTCACTCCATCGCGATCGGCTGGGAGCGAAACGATTCGTGCTGGCAGTCGCAGACTGTCGTTTGAGGGCCGCAGACGACTTGTGGCCCGCGCGTCTGGGTGAGATGCAGGAAATGGCGCTGACCCTTGCACTGGGCGCGAGGTCACGACACGCTGCTGTGACTGAGCTCGCAGAGCAACTCTCCAGCACACGAGCCGACTTCTGGGCAGGCGTGGACGACAGGGCGCTAAGGGCAATGCTCGACGGTAGTCACATTGCGGATCGCGATCGGATGGACGACAATCACATTGAGCAGCTCCCTGACGAACTTGAAGCCCTGCTTCGGTGATAGACTGTTAACAGAGCGAATGAAAAGGACCTCATGAGGGTACCGAAATTGAAGAAGACCAGGCGAACCAAATCTACGATGGCCATGCTGGCTGGTGTCTCGCTGCTGGCAGCGCCGGTGGCGGCCGCATGCGACTCGGGACCCAGCTATGAGGACTGGGCCGCAACCGATGGCGCTGCGGGCCGGATAAACTTGGACGAGGTTCAGGAGGCGTTTAAGAAATCGGACAGTGCCACGGATTTCGAGAAGCGCGTCAACGAGATATACGAGGGCGACGGCATCGTCATTATACGAGTCGAACAGGACGGCAGCAGGACAACTCTGGAGGGATGGGAAGACCTCGACAAGTCAAAGGAAATCGAGGACGCGAACGACGACCGGCTCTTCTCTATTGTCAAGGACAACGATCAGCACGAGATGCGCGGCTACGGCTCCAACGGCTACTATCACAACTCCTTTGGAGCCGGCAACTTCCTGTTCACGTACATGATCCTGAGCAGTTTTGGCCCTCGCTATGCGTACTACACTCCTGTCACGAGGTACGACTCTATAAGCCGGAATCGCTCAAACTACAGAAACGGCAACAGCTACCGCAACCAGGTTTCGAAGAACACCAGCTACTTCAACAAACAGAAGTCGTTCGCCGGTTCCAATTACGATCAGGCATCAAAGAACGTGAGTTCATCGAGACAGTCGTACCTGAACTCCCAGCGTTCCACAGGAAACTTCAAGTCTAGCGCAAACCGGCGTGCGATCAAGTTGGGGAAGCAGCAGTCGCGGCAGCTCGTTTGGGCGGTCGAGCTCGGGCTTCACGGGCGGAGGCGGAACGCTCCGACTGATCGGGTTCCAGAGGGCGAGCCTCCGGCCTAAATCGCGAAGAACAGGATCAGGCTGACGCTTATCAGCGCGGCGCTCTCAATGAATGCCGCTCCGAGATTCCGGTCCACCGCAAGTTCATCTGCGAGCCGTACGTGCGGAAACAGCACCTTGTCCACGACGAACCTGACGACGTACAGCAGGATAAACCCAACCACCGCGTAGGTTACAAAGCCTGCGATGCTCTCCGTCCAGCCGACGAACTCGCCAAAGACCGCCTTGAATACGACGATGCCAATCGCGATCAGATTACCTGCAAGCGCGACTCCCACAGCAACGTTGTCTGCCTCGATCTGCTCGTGGATGTTGAAAGAGGTCGTCCACTCGTAGACCAATGTATAGAGGATCAGCGCAGCCAGGCCTAGCACCAGGAAGGCAACGGCAGTCTCTGGTCCGCCACTGTCGCCAGATATGGCGCCTGCGATTATCAGACCAACGGCCACGTACACGGCAAACTCCACCGCGCCAGTACCGGCATTATGGTCTCTGATGATCTCTTCCTCTGTGCTGAAGTCACGCAGCACCAGTTTATCGACCACGATGCGGGCTATGTTGAGCACGACAATTCCGGCAATCGAGTACACAAACACCAGACCGACGTCCTGCCAGTACTCGGCAGTAAAGCCTAGACTGTTGTCTGCAACCACCAGGAACGGCTGATAGAGACCGCCGAGAAACACGAGGATCACGCCAAAGTAGTATCCTGAGATGCTCACCGCGAGGGCGACATTGTCTTTCTGATTAAGCTGCTCCTGGATCCGATAGGGAGTGAGAAAGTCCTGGGCAAACCTGGCGATAGCGAGCACGATCACTCCCATCACGACATAGACCAGCCCACGGGGGATCTGCTCGAACACGTCCACGAATGCTTCAATCATCGCACGCCTTTCGTTCTACTTGTGATAGACAGTAACGACATGGGGAGACACGGCGATAGAGACGTACACCTCAAATGGAAGACCCTCCCACTTGACCACCGACACCCCACCCTCCTCATCCTCTCGAACAAACTCCCATAGCCAGAAGCCCTCGTCGTCTTCGTTGTAACGGACTTCGTAGCTGTTCCGGTAGTAGTACCGGTGACCGTCGAATTCGATGCTGTTTTCGAGCGACTTATGCTCGTCCCAGGCGACCAGGGTATCGTAGTCGAGGCCCACGGCAGACAAGCCAATCGGCCTATCCTGCAAGACGGCAGAGATGTGCAGGCCATCATGATCGGACCACTCGACGGACGCTCGCCGCTCGCCGTCCACTACAGAAAGCTCGAACGACTCTCCGTATCCAGACTCCAACTTTGTAATTCGCTCGACTAACAGGTAGCCGTCTTCTCCAGTCTCCCACAGCCCCGGGATAAATACCACGTCCCCGATGCGTGCGGAGCGTATAGAGTCATCCGACGGCCCTTCGCCAGACGGCTTCTTTCGACCCTTGCCAAATAGTGATCTGAGCATGGCTTCCTAAATCGGCTGTGGTGTGTGGCTCTTCCAGCGGTTGATGGCCGCCTGGGCGCGAGGGCTGATCGCGTTTTGTACGCGGACGTTGAGCAATGCCGGCCTGTCAAGCCTGATTGCCCGCTCAATCGCCGAATCGAGCTCGTCGGGATGCTCGATCAACTCCCCGTGTCCTCCCAGACCCCGCACGACCTGATCGTACCGGGAGGGCAAGAGATCGGTAGCAACAGCCTTGCCGTACACTCCAACCTGGATCTGCCGGTCTATGCCCCACGCCGAGTCGTTCCCCATGATGCCTACGATGGGCAGGTTGTGCCGAACGGCGGTATCGTACTCCATCGCGTTGAACCCGAACGCTCCGTCTCCGGTGAACATGAACACTCGGCGTTCGGGGTAGGCGGCCTTGGCCGCTATCGCGGTCGGCAGAGCCTGCCCGAGCATCCCCAACGGCGGCAGATACCACCAGGTCTTGGGTGAGAGTGCGGGCGAATAGGCCCTTCCAAAGTGACAGAAATCGCCACCGTCGTAGGAGACAATATCCTCTGGCCGACATGGTACCTAACCGCCTTGTGGACGAATGTCGCGTGCATCGGCGACTCGTTCAATGCCAGGGATTCGAGCTCTTCTTGCTGAGCCACCCGCTCATCGTTGAGTCGAGATAGCCACGGCAGATCGCCCCACTTACGTTTGGATGCCTCTTCGGCCATCTGGCGCGCGACAGCCTCGACGTCACCGTGTATCCCCACAGCGACACCTCGGTTTCGGGCGATCTCAGCAGCTGAGGGATCGATTTGGATCACCTTTGCGTCTTGAGCTATGGTCGGCGGCATCGCGTATCCGACAATGAGGTCCTGCTTCCGTCCCATGAGTACGACTGCGTCCGCCTCCCTCAGCAGCCTCGCCGCGCGATTGAGACCCGAGTCGAAGAATCCATAGCAATATGGGTGGGCATCCGACACCAGACCCCTGGCGTCGCCTTCAGTCATAAGCGGGACACGGGGTAGTCTCGATCAGCGACTCAAGGGTGTCTCCAGACCGTGCGTAGGCACCCGCGCTGCCGACAATTATCAGCGGCCTCTCGGCTTCGTGGAGTATGTCAACGGCATCGCGGATCCGGTTCGCAGACGCAGCGGGAGCCCCAATATCCCGATATTCACCGGGACTGTAGAATGCCACCTCATCTTCAGGTACGAGCTGCTGTTGAACGTCCACAGGGATTGTCAGATGCACTGGCCCGCGCCGACCCTCGTAGGCGACCCGGAGGGCGGTCGAGATCATGTCGGCGATCCGACGAGCATCGGTGACCATCCAACTGCCCTTGGTCACAGGTAGCGCCATTCCGATCTGGTCTATCTCCTGCATCGCGCCGCGGCCCAGCTCCAGCAACTCGGCACACCCGCTGATGGAGAGCAGAGGACTGCCTGAGTGCATGGCATTGGCCAGCCCTGGTATGGCGTTGGCGAATCCGGGCGTCGTGTACATTGCAACACCCGGCCGGCCGGTGATCCGTCCCCAGGCGTCCGCCATATGGACGGCAGCCTGCTCGTGTCTGGTATCTATGAATCTGAAGTCTCGGTCGGCCATCACGTCCAGGACTGGAAGGATGTGATCCCCAGCGAGAGTGAATACAGTATTGACTCCTTCCAAGCTCAGTGCCTTGGCAATCAGCTCGCTGCCACTAACCATCCGCGACGCGGTCATAGGTAACTCCGACTCTCTTCAGGACAATCGACAGAGCTATTTTATAGACGCCGCTGAAGTTTGCCAATGTAAGCAAGTGAATGTCCTCGTGGTTCATTGCGAGCCAGAGACCTTTTGCAATTCTTTAGCGGGTTGCTATAATTTCGAGCGGCGGAAGAGTTGAAAGGTGGTCGACACTGGGGATTCGTCTAGTGGTAGGACGACAGACTCTGGATCTGTAAGCAGAGGTTCGAATCCTCTATCCCCAGCCACTCACATACCACCTAATGGCGATTCCCAAGCCCTCATATGTGTGGCGCGTTCGTCTAGCGGCCTAGGACACCACCCTCTCAAGGTGGAGACACGGGTTCGAGTCCCGTACGCGCTACCATCCTCCCGGTGAGTCTACCTTCTCCTAAGCTCTGGCCATGCGTCCGCCTATGCGGGAAGTACCCTGTTTTAGGGCCAGCGCGAGTATGAAGAACGCTGTCGCCGAAAGCGCCATGACCGGACCAGACGCAAGGTTATAGTGGAAGGATATGTACAGACCGATTACTGCCGATGCCACACCAATGGCGGCCCCGACGGCCATTGCCAAGGTGAAGCGTTGCGTAAGTAACTGAGCGGCCGCCGCGGGCGTTATCAGCATCGAAATCACACGAGCACTATGCCAACCGCTTGCAGAGCGATCAGGATCACGACAGCCAGCAGCACGAGTAGCACGTAGTCCAGAACCCGGGGTGGCAAGCCCATAACCGAGGCCCCCAGCGGATCGAACGTGGCGAACACCATCTCCTTGTGGAGCGCAAAGAGCAGCACCACAACGACGACCGCCAATGCGGCAGTCACCAACACATCGTCTTGTGATACTCCTAGCACTTGACCTAGAAGAACGGATTCCAGACTGACCTTTAGCCCTCGCGCCGCGGTCAGCAATGTAAGGCCCAGCGCGAACAGGCCGGCAAACAGAATGCCTATCGAGGTATCTTCACTAAGGCCCGTGCGTTTCGACAGGAAGCCAATCAGCAGTGCGAACGCAATGGCGTTGGGGACCAGAATGATCCATTCTGAGGAGATGACCGCCACTAGCAGGGCAGCGACAACCAGTCCAGGGAGCAGAGAGTGGGCCAAGCCATCGCTCATGAACCCAAGACCTCTGACTACGACGTACGCGCCGAGTACCGGGCACATTATTCCGACGAGAATGGAGACGAACAGTGCCCGGACCATGAATCCGTACTGGAAGGGCGCAACTGCCGCTTCAGTGATGATGTCCATCTATAGCCCTTCCATGAACTGACCCGACACCATGCGGCCCGTACATTTCTATCAGTACCTCGGGGGTCAGCACCTCTCCAGGAGCCCCGCAAGCGCAAACCCGGCAGTTAATGCAGAGACAGACTCGTACACAACGTAGTGGGCGCGCTGTCGGTGCATGCCGATGTGTCGTTGAGACGACGATGCAGAATGCCTGTTCGTCCTAAGGTGTCCTCGTTCGTGAAGCACCGTGACTAGCGCCTTCTTGCGATGCGATATCAACACCACTGAAAGCCTCATCGAGTAGTACGCACCGTCCGCCCGTGGCGATAAAGAAAAGGGTTATCTGGATGGGGGGCATAATCTTAGTAAAGTGGGAAAAAAGAACGACGTCAAAGGATGCAAAGTTGCCAGCGTAACGGGGGAGGAACAAAAAGGCGCGAAAAAGACCGAGAGGGTATGGGCAGAAGAGAAGAGGGGACTAGGTTACGAGGCATAAAGCGAAGGGGGAACGGCACGGAAATGAGAGGGAGGGAGGTAAGAAACAGGGAGACAGAAGTGGAGGGCAAATGCGGGGTGATAAGGCCATCAGGGACGGGATCCCCACCGCCCCACGGCTCAGGAGAAGGGGACACGACAGTCGCCTTCTCGACCTCTGAACCGACGTCTACAGTCCTCCCCCCCACCTCTGATTCTGACGTTTCCTCCAGGGCCCTCCTTTTACTGCCAGCGACGATCTTCTGTCGAGCATCCCCACCTGCTCTAACGCTGCCTCGGCGGCCTGTCTGTCCTCACCGCTGGGCCTGCGCAACCATCCCAATTTTCCTGTCCTGCCCTGCATTACCACGTCCCAGACGCTCATTGGCACACGCCAGTTCACGTTCTCGTGCTGGGGACGTAAGCAACCAGTCCTCGCGCGTCGTCGACCGGCCTTCCATGAATCAGAACCTGCCCTTCGTCCACCTGAAGTAGGCCCACGATCGCGTTGAACAGGGTGCTTTTGCCGGCTCCGTTTGGACCAACAACACCCATCAGACAATTGGGGCCGGCGGTGAACGTCACCTGGTCCAGTACTCGACTCCGCCTCTGTAAACCGTAACTTTCATTAACGCTCGCTCCCTGCGCGTCGCGTCGCGCGCGCCATCCTCACCCTCTGTTGGTCCTACGATTTGCAGTGCCAGGTTCTACGGTTGCGGGCTGTGTGGTAGTTTGCATCGTCTGACCTGCTTTCAGTCCCTTGTGACCATGCCAGCACCAGCCGTGCCGTTCTTGGGCTCGATACAACGCGCCTTATTGCGACATCATATCATATAAATTTGTGTCCGTGACAATCACCCCTGGCAGCGGTCGCCCAAAGCAAGACTGCGTGTGGGAGTGGCCGCAGGGAGGTCCAGACCGTTGTTTGCCATGCCAGTTGGCCAGACGCGGGCAGTCTGACTGAGTACTGCCCGCTCTTCATGAGTTTTTACACTCGACATCGAACATGATGTCTGTTAGAAATCGGACACCTTCCCGAGCTTGTGTCTCGGGTAGCGTTAGTGAATTGACTTGTTTTACCGGTTTATTCGACTTGGTGCCGGATTATTAGACCGGGTTGCACGGACATGCTTGGCTCGCTGTTGGGGTGTCTTGGGCGGCCTTGGGATGATAGGAGGCCAGCATTATGCGGAGTAAGAAGTTCACCTATTGGGTGATGATTGTCGTGGCAGCTATGGCTACCGTGGCGCTCACCTTCGGATGTGGGGCTGCGGAAGAACCTGCTGCACCTCGGGTAGTTGAGGTGATCAAGGAGGTGCCCGTAGAGAAGGTTGTGATCCAGGAGGTCGTGAAAGAGGTACCTGTTGAGAAGGAAGTAATCAAAGAGGTGGAAGTTGAGAAGGTGGTGGAGAAGGAGGTCGTGAAAGAGGTTACCGTTGAGAAGGTCGTGATCAAGGAGGTGGAGGTCGAAGTCGCCAAAGAGGGAGGCCCGATCACACCTACTGGTACGATAGTCGTGGCGGCTACGTCGCATCGCGACTCCGAGCGGTTGGCCCACTTTTGCTCCGAACTGGCAGACGCTCGCCATGACGCGCGTTCAGGAAGCGCTTATGCACGGCGACATAGACAGCAAAGGGGTTCTCACGTACCATCCCTGGCTGGCAGAGTCCTGGGAGATGGGTCCGGATCTGGCGTACACGGACTTCAAACTTCGCGAAGGCGTCCAGTTCCACAAGGGTTGGGGCGAGTTGACCGCTGAGGACGTAGCTTGGAGTTGGAACGCCGGAAATCCGGTTCTGACCCCAGAGGCTGTACATGACACCCTTCCATGGCCGGAAGTCGGCAGGCTGGATGCTCTCGGCAAATACGTCGTGAGACTCAACTGGACGCCGTTCGGAGTTAAGGGACTCTTGGCTGCAAGCGACCACACTGAGCCCATCGGCGTCGCGCCAAAGCGGGCGTTTGACGAGAACGGCTCAGAGTGGATGCAGGAAAACATGCTCGGCAGCGGTCCCTATGAAATGGTTGAGTGGATAGCTCAGCGCCATGTGATTGTCACAGCCCGCCCGGACCTCGAAAACGTTTGGGACAAGGTCCCCTTCGTGAGGGACTGGCGATACCTGGAAGTCCCTGAGTCCTTCACGCGCGTAGCGCTAATGGAGACCAACGAGGCCCAGATCGGCGAACTTGAGACCAAAGACTGGCCCGCGCTGATCGAGAAGGGATTCAGGAAGATCCCCAATGAGAATATAGCCACGTATCACCTGATGTGGCAGGGCAACTACTGGGAGACCGAGCAGCCCAGGAGCGGAGACCCGCTCGATAGGGACCTCGATACGTCGCTGCCATGGGTCTGCGAGATGGACGACGAGGCTTGCAACGCAACCGCCCGCAAGTGGCGTCAGGCCCTCTTTATGGCGGTTGACCGGCAGGGAATCTTAGATTCGGTGCTCGAGGGCATCGGGAAGGTCGTTCTATCGCCTCAGGCCTACCAGGAATCTGCATTCCTCATCAAGTACGGCGACCGCTGGGGAGACCCGTATGATCCTGAGCGTGCCAAGGAGATCTTCGATGAGTGGGCGATGGAGTGGGAGGCTGCAGGCAACGACCCTGATGAAGTCGTAATCGAACAGTGGACTGGACCGAGTGGTGTCAGAGTTGAGATGGCTGAGGCTATCGGGGCCAACTGGCAGCAGATTTTCGATGTTCCCTCGCTTATCGACAAACAGCCTTATGCGTCTTTCAGACCTAGCAAGATCAACCGGACCGCCAAGGGCATGTACGCTCGCAACTGCTGCGGCAGTACTCCCATGACATGGGATACCGAACAGTGGCACACTGCGCTGACCGCGCCTGCGGCTATAACGCAGGCGCCGAGTACCCCTTAGGCTCTCGTGTAGCGATAGACAAGAATGCCAACGCGACCGATCAACAAAAGCTGGAAGAGTTGACCATCGAGTGGCTGGACTTCCTATACGAAAACCACCTCGACACCGGCTTGGCACAGGGCGAGAGCGGCTCGATCTACAATCCTGACGCAATCGCATCGTTCCACCCGCGCAGGGGCAGGCAGAGAGCAGTGGGTGGAGTTCCGGATCCCGAGTACGTTCTGCCCACTTACAGGTAGATCGTAGATCTCCTACACACTTTACGTAGCCAACTAGGTATCCCAGGGCAGAGGGGCGAAGGTCCCTCTGCCCGATGTCTAGGGGAGTGCAGGGACAGTTCGCGCTAACGTCTCTTTTTGCTTTTTCGGCTTACAGCAGACCTCCAAACTCTTTGATTTGACATGCAGCCATTGGGAGATTTCGTCTAGCTCTATGATTGGTAAGCGTGCGAACCTAATTGCTCCTGCCATGGTGTCCTTATCCTGCTCTCGGTGCTGTTTGTCGCCTTGGTTGCGGGGGCGGTTGGGTGGAAGACACAGGGGAGACCGCGGCAGCCCCTGCGGCACGTGCGAGCTCACCCTCGTCCCCATCATCGCCGTCTTCGGCATCATCCCCATCATCGCCATCTTCAGCCTCGTCCCCATCTTCGCCGTCTTCAGCATCACAGCCGTGCAGCCCCGGTAATTGCTCCGACTGGAGTCGCGCAATCCGCTGAAGCTCCAACAACAGGCGCATCCGCGGATACAATGTTCCGAGGGGACCCGGCTCACACCGGCATGTATGACACCGATGGCGTCACGGAACTCAGCGGTGTCAAGTGGCGTTTTGAGACCACGGCTCGGATCGTATCGTCGCCCACTGTCGCCGATGGTGTCGTGTACTTCGGCAGCCACGACTTTCACTTCTATGCAGTCGATGCCGCCACTGGACAAGAGAAGTGGAAGTTTAAGACCGACGCCCAAATCTGGTCCTCGCCTGCTATTGCCGACGGCGTAGTCTACTTTGGCGGGACGGACTCCCATCTGTACGCTCTAAACACTAGCGATGGCAGCGAAGTGTGGAGATTTCAGACTGAAAATAAGGTGAACTCGTCCCCCACCATCGTGGAGGGCGTTGCCTACATTGGAAGTTACGACACACACATGTACGCCGTTGACATTACGGACGGCACAGAGATATGGAAATTCAAGACAGAGCGCAGGATTCATTCATCGGCTGCAGTCGCCGACGGTAGCGTGTACTTCGGCAGCGACGATGGATACATCTACGCCCTGGACGCCAAGACGGGACAGGAGAACTGGAAGTTCGAGGTGGGCGTCGGTCTGCCATCGTCCCCTGCGGTCGCCGACGGAGTAGTGTACTTCGGAGGCAGTTTATTTCTGTACGCACTCGACGTCTCGACCGGTGAAGAGATGTGGAAGTTCCAGACTGGATCCCGGGTCGAGTCATCGCCCGCCGTGTCAGGAGGAACCGCATACATCGGGAGCGCGGACGGCCACCTCTACGCTGCCGATACCGAAACCGGCGAGGAGAAGTGGAAGTTCAAGGCGGATGCACGGGTGGACACTTCTGTGGACTCCTCGGCAGCCGTGACCGGTGACACCGTCTATTTCGGGGCGAGGGACCGCTTCATTTATGCCCTTGGACGCTGAGACTGGCGAAATGAAGTGGAGTTTCGAAACCGAGGGCTTTGTAGAGTCCTCCCCCACCGTCGCGGACGGCGTGGTCTACATCGGCAGCAATGACGGTTCCATCTATGCGCTGGAGTAACAATCAGCAATGTCGGAGCCTAGTAAACTGGGAGTAGTCCAATTCGGCGATTCATAATTCGTCGTGCCTTCACGTCGATCCTTGCGCTCATGGGCGCAACGATCGTCATATTCGCGGGTTCCAGGCTCATGGGGGACCCGCTGATTAACCTTCTGCCTCCAGACGCGGGGGGCTTCACGTACGGTTTCAGCCAGGTCGTGTATGAGAGGGAGAAACGACGCCTTCACCTGGAGGACCCGGTGCCTGTCCAATACGCGTACTGGGTCGTTGACGCCGTCCAGGGCAACCTTGGATATGACCTGACCAACAAGCGTCCGATTGCCCCGGTCATCGTGGAGAGGCTGCCGCACACGCTGCAGCTTGCGTTCGCGGCATTCATCGTCGCGACCGTTGTAGGATTGCCTCTCGGCGTTCTCTCGGCGGTCAAACGGGGTAGCATCTGGGACCTCGCCGGACGAATGTTTGCGGCTCTCGGGATCGCTACCCCGACGTTCTGGGGTGCGATGGTGGCAATACTGATATTTTCCGTCATGCTCGGCTGGCTGCCCACCGCTACGAAGGGCGAAGGCTTTGCTATTCGCAACTTCATAATGCCCACGCTCGTGCTGGCGACCCACGCCATGGCCGGATACCTGCGCCTGATGCGATCTGCCATGCTTGATACCTTGGACTCCGAGTACGTCAAGCTGGCCCGTGCAAAGGGCGCTAGGAATCGAACTGTCATCTGGAAGCACGCGTTCAAGAACGCGGCCCTTGTGCCCCTAACCTACGCGGGGCTTCTACTGGCGGGTTTCATAACAGGTTCGATAGCCGTGGAAGTAGTCTTTGCATGGCCAGGGGTCGCCCGATTCGGCGCTGAGGCCGCTGTCGCCAACAACCTCCCGGTTGTAGTCGCGGTGACGCTTATGTTCACTTTCTTCTACGTGGCAATCAACTTCGTCGTTGACATACTTTACGGATTCGTGGACCCACGAATCCGGTACTCTTAGGTGACCGAAAGGCAACATCAGGAGATAAATTGGAACAGGCGCAGGGACAGATCATTACAGATCTGGAAGACAGTCGGGGCACCAGTATCAGTGGGGCGATCGCGTTCACGCGTAGATGGCCAATCTTCTCTGGAATAGTCCTTTTCCTGTTCGCCATGATGGCCATCTTCGCTCCACTCATTGTGCCTCATGATCCCGGATTCAGCATCCTTAGAGAGAGGAACACACCACCGGTCTGGTACGAGGAGGGAACATGGAAATACCCCCTCGGTAAAGACCCAATCGGAAGAGATGTACTGAGCAGGTTGATAATGGGCGCCAGAACGTCCCTGATGGTGGTCGCAGTTTCCATTGTCGTCGGCACCATAATAGGAACCGGCCTCGGTCTGATAGCAGGCTACTTCGGCGGACTGATCGACGAAGTCATAATGCGCCTCGTGGACATCTGGTACGGAATACCATTCGTGATGGTCGCGTTAATCGTGGCCATCACAGTCGGAGCTGGCCTGTACACAATGATGGGGTCTGCTGGCCGCGGCGTCTTTCGCAGGCTTCGTGCGTCAAGTTCGAGCCGAAGTGCTCAGCATCAAGGAGCGCGACTACGTGGCCTTGGCAATCGTCGCGGGCGCGTCCCCACCGCGCATTCTCATCATGCACATCCTGCCAGGCGTCCTTAACACCGTCGTCGTAATTGTGACGCTCTCCACGGGCGGACTTATCCTCGCCGAAGCCTTCCTGAGTTTCCTCGGCGCCGGAATTCCCCCACCGACCCCAACGTGGGGAGCTATGGTCGCCGACGGAAGAGAGTACCTGCGCACAGCATGGTGGATTACGGTTGTGCCCGGAATCGCAATCTTGCTTATCGTTCTGGCGCTAAACTTCTTGGGCGATTGGCTGCGCGACAGGCTCGACCCCCGGTTGCGCCAGGTCCTCTGAACTCCATCTCCCATCTTCGACAGAACTTCCTGGCACAGACAGGCATCATCTCTCACTCAGGTGAATCGCCTGGTCTGGAGCCTGAATCTCGACACCACCCGAAGATCGGCTTGGGATATACTGTTGCCTACTCTCCTGATTCGGGTGCAAGTCCATCGGAGGTCCCTCAAGGGTGAAGATAACGAACATAAAGATTTCCATCCTTGAGACTCCGGAAGCTAGGCGGATATTCGATCTCACTATTCTTCCCGGAATGCGCCGCCCCCGATGGGTCCACGGCTCGTCCACGGCCAGCCCAGGTCACACGCAGGTCATGCACGTCGAAACGGACGAAGGAATCACCGGTGTATGCACGGTCGGCGAGGGCGTTGCTGGCAGGCTGGACAGGGATACTCTCGACCAAATCCGCTCCGCTGCCCTGGGGGAAGACGCCCTGGCAAGGGAAATGCTTTACCAGAAGCTTCACACGGGCACACGCTGGGTCTACAGGGAGCCTGGCTGGGGAGGCACCCTCGACAACTGCCTCTGGGACATAGCCGGAAAGGCGGCCAACCTGCCGGTCCACGCGCTTATCGGGACGCGTTCGCGACAGTATCCCGATGTACATGAACATCCGTGGCGAAACAAAGGAAGAAGCCGCTGAAGACGCCATCAAGGCTGTGGAGGCCGGCTTCCCAGCTGTCAAGGACCACTTCTATCATCCAGTCGAAGAAAACATCCAGTGGTTCAGGGCCATTCGAGACGCAGTCGGGCCCGACATCGACATCATGCATGACCCTGTCGGCATCTACAGCTTCGAGCAGGCCGTTAGGATTGGTCGGGAGCTGGAAGACCTGGCATTCAGGTGGATCGAAGAGCCACTGCCGGAGAGACAACACAACAGGCTCAGGCAGCTATGCGACGCTCTTGATATCCCGGTTCTTGCCCCAGAGATGATGATGAACGACGTTGACATCTCCGCTCAGTGGCTCATCTCAGGCGCGACGGATATGATCCGAGGCAACGCCAGGCACGGTACCACATCTGTCCTCAAACTGGCCCATCTGGCGGAGCTTCACGGGACGACCGTGGAGCTAAACGCTGGCGGAGGACTGTTCGGTCTTGTACATGGACATATTTTGTCGTGCATTTTCAATACGTCTTACTACGAGTTCTTCGGTGGAGACAACGAACAGGCCGGGAAAGAAATCGGTATGCTGAACCCGCTAACGCCTGTGGGTGCCAGGATGTATCCTCCTGAAGGCCCCGGCTGGGGAGCCGAGTGGGACTGGGACTACTTCAACAAGAAGGTTGTCGAGGAGTGGTGATTGCCCAGACCAAGGGCACCAGAATGGCCGCGTGACTCTTTTTAGGGAGGAGGAGCATTATGGAACCCGAGTTGATCGCAGACTACCTCAACCATGTAGGTGAAGGTCCGCTCTGGCACGTTAGCGAGAAGCGACTCTACTGGGTCGATATCCCTCAAGGTCGCATATTCTGGTTCGATCCCGAATCCGGCGAACACGAGCAGTTCTTCCAGGGTAGAGTCATAGGTGGTTTTACTATCCAGGTTGACGGCTCCCTGTTGCTGTTCATGGACAGGGGTTCCATCGCCCTCCTGCGAGATGGCGAGCTTAGCTACGTCGTCGAGGAAATACCTGAAGAGCGCGACACACGCTTCAATGACGTAATCGCCGACTCCCGCGGCAGCGTCTTCTGCGGCACCATGCCAACCGATACCCGACCCGCGAAGCTGTACCGACTCGATCCAGACGGCAGTCTGACAGTCGTGCTCGACAACATCGGGCTATCAAACGGGCTGGGCTTCACTCTCGACCGCAAGCAGATGTACTACACCGACTCGTTCGCTCGGAAGATATACATTTTCGATTACGATGAGAGCACGAGCGAGATTTCCAACCAGCGCGTATTCGTAGAAACACCTGAAGGCCAAGGTATACCGGATGGCATGACCGTCGACGCCGATGGCTATGTCTGGTCTGCTCGTGCGGACGGGTCGGCTTTGTTTAGGTACACAACCGATGGCGTCGAGGAGCGCTCCATTCCCTTCCCTGCGAAGAAGGTCTCCAGCGTTACTTTCGGGGGACCAGATATGGACGAGATCTACGTAACAACCATCGGGGGAGACAACAAAGCTGACGAGGGACCTGGAGCGGGAGCTCTTTTCAGGTTGAAGCTCGGCATCAAAGGTGTGCCGGACTTCCACTCCCGAATCGGAGTCTGAACCAGTCTGCTGAGGAGGTGCTCGGGACCCTTGCAAGCTGACGAACACGAATCAGCCTTGAGGTCTCAGGAAAGCCGCCGATTCATAACGGCCAAGGTACCCAAAAGGGACTGGAAAGCGCCGATTATCCGCGGCAGTTACTTTGTCGGGGCTGTCTCATTAATTGTCGTAGTCGCGGTGGCTGCCTTGGTATGGGTGAATACCCGGCCGCCTGAGAGATATGGCACCCTGTTGGCTACCGTTACTCTCCCCGGCAACGGTGGATGCTCGGTAGGAGGCACATTCACTGGAACTGACTATGTGACAGTAAAGTCAGGATGTTTCAGCGACACCCTGCAGGTGTACCGTCCACCAGTAGGTAGTGGCTCGGCAACACTTGTTTCCACCATTAAGATGTATGATCCCGACACTGGCAAACCGGTCAACGTCAGTGCGGTGGCATGGGACACCAAGAGGAAGATGCTGTGGGGGGCCATGGCGAACGCTGTTTACTTAATCGATCCGAATGAAGGCTCGAGAGCACCGGCCAGTTTTCAATTCAGGCCAGGCGTCCAGGGCAGCTACCTAGTAGACGGTCTGGCGTACGATTCCTCTGACGATAGTCTGTATTACGCACCCGACTCGAATCCGAACATCTACCACTTCTCACTCGGTACAGATGGAAGACTCCTTGGCGCCCTTCTTAACACTGTGAGGCCGAAGGACAGGAATGTAAACGCTGAGAGCGACGTTAGCGGAGTGGTCGTAGGATCAGAAGACACGCTATACATCGGGCGCAACAAGGGGAGCGGGGCTAGGATCGTGCGTATACACAAGAAATCCGGCGAGTTTGTTTCCGATTTCGCCACGACTTTTGAACGTGTGGAGGACCTGGCATGCGACGCGACGAGCCACGTTTGGAAAGGCGTAGAGGCTATCCTGGCCAAGGATGCATTCAACGGGCTCTACGAGGCATTTGAGGTAGAAGCCGGAACCTGCGCGCCCTTAGACGGTGTGGACGAACGTTAGGTAATCGGGCGATGCTGGACACATCCCTCAAGAAGAAACGGGCGATTGGGCTGGTTGTACTGGCCGTCTTGCTCACGCTGTTTCTGATATTCAATCGAATCCCAAAGCTGGACACCGTCCGTGCCGACCTTGCCATCGCCACTTCGTCCCAGCAGGAGTGCTTCCAGGGGTTCTGCATCGAGTCTCCGGAGGAGTCCTCCCTGCTCTCCAGGTGGTGGGATTTCTCGATAACGTATCTGAGACTAGTCGCGCTCGGTATGACCTTCGCGTTTCTGGTGGCGGGGGTTACCGAGGCTTTCCTCTTTCCTCAGGGAAGCAGTAGGAGCTTTGCGACCGGCGGTATAAGAGGCTCCCTGAAGGGACTCATAGTAGGGCCGGCTATGAATCTCTGCTCTGCTTGCATCGTTCCAATCTCTTCGGCATTCCGACAGAGGGGCGCAAGCATTGAGTCGACGTTGGCAATAGTCCAGGGATCTTCGACGCTGAATCTCCCGGCGATGATTATGGCGGCCATGGTGTTCGCTCCGATGATTGGCGGCACCAGGATTGCCCTGAGCCTTGTTGGAGCGCTCTTGATCGGCCCTCTGGTGGCAGCTTTCGTCGGCGAACGCGGGCGCGTGCCTCTGCCAGTATATGTCACTGTAGAGCCATCCGAGCAGACCAGAGTCGCCTCATGGAGTGAGGCTCTGTCAGAAGGATTCAGAGATTGGGTCAGGTCCAGCTTCAGTTTCCTAATCAGGCTGGGCCCCATAATGGTGTTAGCCGGCTTCGTAAGCGCCTTCGTCATCCAGTGGGTAAGTCCCGAGACCGTCTCCACATACCTGGGAGACAACTGGCTCGGAATAGTTGTGGCAGCGACTTTCGGCCTTCTCATAAATGTACCGCTGCTATTCGAGATACCGCTGGTGGCTGCGCTGCTGCTGGTCGGCATGGGTACGGCGCCCGCAGCCACTCTGTTGTTTGCAGCAGCAGCGGGCGGCCCCATCACTTTCTGGGGACTGGCCAGAGTCGTACCGAAGCGCGGTGTGGTGGCTTTCGGGACATCTATCTGGGTCGTGGCCGTGGTCGGCGGTCTCGGAGTCATGGCCCTCAGCACAATTCTCCCAACGTCAGGCAGTGGCCTCAATGCCTCAGTGTCTCCTGCCATGGCGAGCGAGGAGCCCGCACGAGCAGGACGTAACTTCGTCACCGCCGCCGACCTGAAGGCCGGAGCAAACTTGGCCAGACCTGCGCAGAAGGAATCTCTGCCGGCACCGATCGTCGTCCCAATATCGCCTGACTCAAATGGCGAAGAAACCGCCAGCGTGACGCCGTTCACCAACGTCGCGCTCACCGCGCTGGAGAACTCCAACGAGTGGCCCGACGAGGTCATAAACTACCGTCCCGGCGTAGTTGTCTTCGACTACGATTCCGATGGCGACTCCGACTTCTACATAACCGCCGAGTCCGGGACACCGAACTTTCTGTACCAAGGCAATGGGGATGGGACTTTCGTCGACGTTGCCGAGTCAGCCGGCGTCTCTGCCATTGAGAGCAACAGCACAGGGGCTGTGGCATGCGATCTCAACAATGACGGTCACCGCGACCTATACGTGGGCTCCAGAGGAATCGCCGCAATGGGTCCGGGCAAGTCCAAGGGTGACGGCTTGGACTTCAGGTCCGCAATGGGAGACGACGAACCTTCTCAACGACTAAGAGAGACGATTTCAGACCGCGTCTTCCTCAACAATGGCGATGGAACTTTCAAGGACATCACTGACCTCGAATGGGCGAGACAGTCAACCTGAGATCAGCTGGAAGTGTCGCTTGCGCCGATGTTGACGGCGACGGCTGGCTGGACATCTACGTCGGAAACATGATCGACGAGGACTTCTTCCTATTCACAGACCGCACACACCCGGGACACTACAACCTGCTGTATCGCAACAACGGCGACCTGACTTTCGAGGAGATTGGCGAGTCGGCAGGAGTTCGCGGGACGCAGATCAAGCTGCTCGACCCAGACGGAGACCCTGTAGTCTTCAGGGACGACTCCAGCGGCGCGGAGTACGTGGGGTACGACCCATCTGTCATAGATGCGAACGGCAACCGAGTTGGTGACCCAACCGGCCGAACTCACGGTGTCATGTTCTTCGACTACGACGACGACCGTGACCCCGACATCTGGGTTGCGAACGATGGGGACATACTGCAGGTGTTCCGTAACGACTCGACTGACACCGTAATCAAGTTCACGCCTATGGCTGAGGAGATGAGCATCGACATAGTCGGCAATTGGATTGGATTCGCAATAGGGGACTATAACGGCGACGCACAACTGGACGTCTTCGTTACGAACCAAGGCTATCACCTGCGCCAGTACCCCCAACAGAAGGATGTGGGAGGAGACTGCCGATACACGGAGCGCTTCGAGTGGGGTACTTGTCTCCACGCCCTGCTCAGAAACAACGGACCCTCCAATGGGTCAGGTCCAGATACCAGTCCTTACTTCACTGACGAAGTAGAGGCCACTGCGGTCACACCAAGTCCAATCATGCCTCCTACTTCACTGAACCCAGAGAACATTCACTCTGACTGCAGGCGCGATCACGGAAGCGCGGCGCGCTACACGACTTTGTCTACGGAACGAACATTCTTCGACTCATGACACACGTCACACCACAGACATCTATTGGCTTGGGTCGGAGCCGGCACGGGGTGAAGGTCCAGGTGGAGAGATAATGAAGAGCGCGGGCCGCATGATGCGCGGCGACGGACATGGCTCATTCGAGGACATAACCGTACGCGCCCATCTGCTGGATATTATGGACGTCGACTACTCGATACTCGATCCTAGCAATCCCAATTTCGATGCCGCTGACCAACGCATCGATGCTGCGTTCCACGAAAACGGCAAAGGGCTGGCCCATGGCGACCTTAAACGGCGACGGCTACGTCGACCTCGTGGGCACCAACAGCATACAGCGGCCCAATCTGGGCAATTCCGGGAGTGCCCGGAGATACAGCGATTCCCGCGGCTGGCACAGTTTTTGTGTGGCTCAACGGCGGAGTAGGCGACAATCACTGGATTACGTTGCGTCTGAAAGGCCGGATGGGAATCGACGGCACCGGTAGCAACGCGGACGGCATAGGCGCAAGAGTATACCTCAAAACCGCGAGAGGTAACGGCGACGAAGCGCTCGTCCAAGTTCAGGAGGTCCGAGCAGGATCGAGCTATCTGTCGATGGATAGCATCGATCTCGAATTCGGCCTCGGAGACTCGACGGCCATTGACGAGATCACGGTGCTGTGGCCCAGCGGAAGGAAGCAGACGCTACGCGTACGATATTCCGGCCAACCAGATCATGGATATCACTGAACCGGAAGGCTAACGGCCTACTTCCTCCCTCTTCACTGTTGTCAGATTCTCCAGCTCGTCTTACCAGTCATCAGGAGGCTAAGAACTCAGCCCATGCGTCCTGGAAGCGGCTGGGTTATTGACTGGCCGGAACAGCGAGAACGTATCTGCCCACTCTTCGGCCTGATATGCCTTCAGTTTCTCAAGGCGTCTGTGAGTCGCTGATGTTTCGGACATATACAAGACATGTCAGGGCTGCCTTGTTGGTGACCGCGAGCCATTGCTCCTGCTGAATGGTGAACTGCGACTCGGCGCTTGCCCAATGGTCCAGCCACTTGACAGTGGACTCCTTGTTCTTTGCGTTGGCCACCAGCATAGCCCCGTCAACCCACCCAATCGTCCTTTCTTTGGGCACGGCAAACTCGATGTTGGTGTTCCCAGCGTCCACGGCCTGCAGGGCGTTAATGTTGTTGCCGAAAGCCAACCACACCTCTTCGGTAGCCAGCGCCCTTGTAAGCGCGCCCCCTGACCTCCAGAGCAGCTTGAAGTTGGACTTTCTCTCGATGAGAGTCGTCTTGGCTAGCTCAAGAATGTCGTCCGGCAGATCCCACCGAGAGCCCGTCGGCGTATCAACCTCGTAGTCTTCGAATCCCTGCAGCGCAGCAGTCATTAAGAAGTTTCTGTTGAAGTTGTCCCTCAGGGCGACTTTTCCCTCATACTTGGGGTCGAAGAAGACCTCGAAGCTGGGAGGATCCGGCATAGAGACCCTTTCCTTGTTGTAGAGGATCCCGTAGGGCGACCACGCATGGGGCACTGCCAGCATCCCGCCATCTACCTGCCATGGGGCATAGTTTGCGAACTTCGGGAAGAACTCACTGTAGCTGTTGAAGGTAGTGAAGTAGCGAAAGGCTCCACGAAGCCATTCCTGTGATACTCCAAGCACCACAGGCCATCCATGAAAATGGTGTCGTATGCGTCGGTCCCTGCCACCTTGATCTTGCCGAACGCTTCTTCATTGTCATTGAAGTCGGTGCTGATGACGTCGACGCCAGTGTCATCCTTGAACCGCGCCTTCACGTCAGGATGGTCCTTGTCAGACCATGCCAGCATTCTTATGGGACCGGTGAGCTTGTCTTCTCCCCCGCCGCAAGCTGCAATCAGCGAACTAATCGGGCCGGCCAGCATTACTGCACCACCTGCCAGCGCCGTGCGGCGCAAGAATTGGCGACGAGAAATTCCCGGAGTGACTTGGAGTGGAGCCATCAGATTCTCCTTCCTGATTTTCCTTAGACACCTGCTGCCTACTTAGCTACCAAAAGTAGCACGGGCCTTATTGACTCGTCTGATCACCATGTCCCACGGACGAATGAGGACAATCAACAGGACCAGCACAACACCAACGATGATGAGCGTACCAAGCGCATTGGAAGAGGGAGAAGTACCCGCCTTCTGCAGACCAAAGATGTACAGGGGCAGTGTCGACTCACCGGAGGTCAGGATAAACGCGACGACGAAGTCGTTGAACGATATGGTGATTGCAAGGAATGCTCCGGCGATCAACGCAGGCACCATTAGTGGCAGCACCACCTTAATGAATGTCATGAGAGGTGTAGCCCCCAAATCTTTGGAAGCCTCTTCGATGCTCCTATCAAACCCATACTGTTGAGCCAAAATTGTCAGGAAGACAAATGGCAGAGCCAAGGTCACATGGCCGAGGACAACGGTCTGCAATGACAGCGGCACTCCGGTCGTTATCAGCAGCACCAGAATCGCCAGCCCCAGAATGATCTCAGGTATGAGCATCGGCAAGAGACTAATGAACAAGTAGGCGCCCCGACCCGGGAAGCGGTGCCGGACCACCGCATACGCGGCGGGCGCGCACAGCATCAGAGACACTATCGCAGTCTCAATCGCCACGATGATGCTGAACTTGAGTGCGAGCAGCATGGAGCCGCTGCTAAACAGGTCCCGGTACCAATGGAGTGTACCCCCCTGCATCGGGAACACCGCTGAAGAGTTCTTGCCGAAGGAGAATAGAACCATGCTGAATAGCGGCAGATAGCTAATCGCCAGTATGACGATCACGTAGGCCAGAAGCCAGATGCTCCTGCGCTGAGTGTGACGCGCAACGTTGGATCCAACACCGGAGCGATACAGATTGTCTATATTGATTCCCCGTCTGAGGAGAAAGACCATCAACATTAGTATGGCGACTATCGGTACGATATAGGCGCCGCCTTGGGCAAAGTCGAGCACATCTCTAACAACGGGCATCAACGCCGTCGCCACCATCGCGCCCTCCGTGCCACCCAACATAATGGGTGTCACGTAGAAAGCCAGAGTCGGCATGAAGATGAGCAGCGTAGCCGTTTGATAACCAGAGGCCGACAGAGGGAATATCACCTTCAAAAATGTACGGAGACGGTTTGAGCCAAGATCAAGAGACGCCTCTTCAACTTCATTGCTGATATTGCCCATCGTCGCGTAGAGAACGAGGACAGCGAAAGGCAATGCGAGCGTGATCCCAACGACTATCACTATGTTCAGCGTATAGATGATGTCGAGCTTCGGAAGCCCAATCGCTTGAAGGACGGTATTCAGAACACCGTTATTCGTGATCAGAGCTATCCACGAGTAGTTACGGATAACAACGTTCATCCAAAGTGGAAGCACCGTCACGAGGAGGAGGAACACGGCGAGACGCCTGCCGGCAACTCGGCTAATATAATAGGCGAATGGAGAGCCTAGTACGAGAGCCCCAAGTGTAACGAGGACCGCGATGATGAGCGTCTTGACAAATAACTTAGCGTAACTCCCGGCAGTAACCAGGTCAACGTAGTTCTGGGTTGTCCAGGGCAGACCCACACTGTAGAAATCGTAGGTCTGGAAGCTGTACACCAGCATGAATATGCCCGGTATTCCTACGAACAGCCCTACCCAGACCGCCAAGGGGAGACTCGGCAACCCGGGTGCGACTCGCCGAATTATCGTGAGTCTCGCGCCGATATGGGCGACCTGGCCCAATGTGCGTGCTACTTCCAAACCACCCCCTACACGGGCCCAGACAATACTGGAACCGTCCTCGTCAACTGCTGTGTGCGTCTATTCAGCGATTGAACAGACGTACGTCTTCAGCCCTCCATCCCACGGTCACGCTACTACCTATCTCAATCTGCTCCCTGTAAAACTGGGCAGATGAGATTACAGCTCGGAACTGCTGGTCCCCATCTACTGTGACAACGAGATCAACGTAATCACCGTAGTACAGAAGCTGGCCGATCTTTCCCTGCCATACCTGTCCGTCGTCAGCGTCGAGTCTGCTTCCCAACCTGACGTCCGAAGCCCGCACCCATAACGTCGCTCCATCACCGACCTGAAATCCGTCCTTCGACGGGACCCGCACTACCACGCCATTCCCGCATCGCACAGCCAAGGTCCCGTTTGACTTATCTATGCACTCGCCATGCAGGAAGTTCCCTACACCCACGAAATCCGCCACAAACTCATTTTTTGGATCCTCGAATATCTCTCGGGGCGCCCCTTCCTGTTGGACCTTTCCCAAGTCCATGAGCACGATGCGATCCGAGAGACTGATTGCCTCTTCCTGGTCGTGTGTCACATAAATGAAGGAGACCCCGGACTCTCGTTGTATCCGCTTGAGCTCGAAGCGCATGGCTATGCGGAGCTTGGCATCGAGTGCGCCTAAAGGCTCGTCCAAGAGGAGCACAGCCGGCTCGTTGACCAACGCCCTGGCTACCGCTACACGTTGTTGCTGGCCTCCGCTCAGCTCGTTTGGCCTGCGTTCCTCCAGACCTTCAAGGCCAATGAGACTCAGCAGGTTCTCCGCTCTCTCTCGCTGTACGTTCTTGGCCACCTTCTTGTTTTTGAGACCGTAAACAATGTTGTCGTAGACAGTGAGATGAGGAAACAAGGCATAGCTTTGGAAAACCATGTTCGTCGGTCTCGAATAGGGAGGCACGTTGGTCGCGTCCTGCCCCTGGATGTAAATGCGCCCGAAAGTAGGCTCTTCCAGACCGCCGATCATCCTGAGCGTCGTCGTCTTGCCGCAACCACTCGGCCCCAGCAGAGTAATGAACTCACCCGCTTCTACACTGAGGTAGAGGTCATCAACGGCAAGAACCGATCCATAGTGCTTGGTCACACCTTCTAGTTTTAGCTGCTCCAACTAAAAGCACCTCAACTATGGACGTGTTGTAAACGATCATCCGGGCTTGGGGAAATCTTCAAGGCCCATGCGGGTAGTGAGGGAATTCGTCCCAGGTGCCGTGGCTTTCAATAGATGAAATATAGGCTCGTGCAAGAATTATCATAGGATTGTGTCTAAGTCAAGCCTACCATGATGTGGGATTCTCCACTACATGTTCGTGACGTGATCAGAAAAACTTGTTTGTGTGGAAAACACTTACAGTTGCCTTGATGACGGCAGCCAATCCACCTCGATACAGGCCAATAATCAGCGATGCAATCCGCATTCGGGCTGCTGGATAATCTTGTTCGCCCGCGTAAAGGAGAAAATGACCCACGACGCCCGCGCACGACGCCTGATGAGGGGTAGTTAACGACTACTGCACGGGCTCGGTGGTCCCATCCGGTCAAGGGCCGCGAGCGTGAGGATCTATAGGGTCAGAACTGGGTATAGAGCGTCGGAGACCGCTGGACTTCGGAAATCTCGTGGGGCTCAAGCGGATATGCTTCCTTCTGGTACACCTGCACACGGTCGGAGCCGTAGTCTGCAATGTACATGGAGCAACCATCTACGCGCACCGACACGGGCCAGCGGACGCGCTTCTGGGGTTCGAGCGAAGTCATCTCCCGCAGCCGGAGCGCCTTAACGTTGGACTTCATGTAGTGATGGGCCTGTTTAGACAGTGTGGCGTCGCCCTGGAAAAGCTCAACAAACACGCCATCCGGTCTGAACAGCTGCACCCGGTTATTCGCCCAGTCAGCGACGTATATGTCGCCGTCGGCGTCAACAGTGACACCAGACGGACGATTGAACTCGCCCTCCCCATCTCCGGACTTGCCTATCTTGAATACGAACTCCCCATCCGCCGTGAACTTCTGGACGCGGTCATTTCGCCAGTCTGCTACATAGATGTCGCCCAGTTCATCCACGTGAATTCCCCATGGCATGTTGAACTCACCGTCACCGTCGCCAAGACAGCCGAACTGCGTTAGGAATTCGCCGTCCTTGGTGAACTTCTGAATCCTGTGGTTCTGCGTATCCGAGACATATACGTTCTCGTCAGCGTCGAGGGCGATGCCGGACTGTCGACTGAACTGTCCATCGGCGCTCCCAGCCTCACCCCACTGGGCCTGTATTTCTCCCCGCTTGTTAATGACTGTAATCTGGTTCGTTCCCTCGTCCGAGACCCACATGTTCTCATCACGGTCCATTACCATTGATATGGGCCAAACGAACTTCGTGTTTACGGAGTATGTACCTCCGATCTGGGCCGCTCCCCCTGCCGCCAGGTTAATTGCTCCCAAGTCCTCATCGTCCTGCGACAGGCGCCTGATGAAGGAGATGCCTCCTCTGCACAGGACATGCAGGTCGCCTTCCTTGTCGACAGCGATATCGACTGGAGTCGTGGTCTACGACGCGCATACCACCTAAGGAGCGTCCGATCCCCGAGCTGAACCTACTCTGAGAAGACGCGTATGGGTTCCTACCTTTCTCACATCCACATACATGAGATGCTTGCCTGCCCGGTGGCGATGCACCTGCATGATTTGACGGACAGCTGCTACGCAGCACAATCGCGAATCTCTTCGTATGGACCATCCGACAAGGGCGCGGCTCTCACAGCTCTACACCACATGCTCGAGCAGCCCCAGTGGCTGTATCAGTCCACGGAAGTCGTAGGTGTGGGCCATGTCACCATCGGTCTGCTTGTCGATATCCAACGACGGGTACTCAGCGTACAGACCACCCTTTACTCTCTCTCCGATCACAAAAGAGCCACCCCCGGCTCCGTGGTCGCATCCACTACCATTGTCTCTGATTCGCCGGCCGAACTCCGTAAACACAAGCATCACCACGTTCTCAGAGGAGTTGTGATCCCGTATGTCCTGGAAGAAGTCCATGATTGCGCCCGACAACTCAGTCAGCAACCTCGGATGATTGGGCACTTCGTTGGCGGGTGGTCGATCGTACCGCTCGTGGGCCGTTGCTGTAATGATTCTTGTACCAAGGTCGGCCAGATGCACTCGCGCGGCGTCCCTGAGAGAGTTAGCTATGGGGTTGTCGGCAAACTCTAACGTTGCGGATGTATGTTCTCTAGAGCCTTTTGTGCGAACGTCACGCGCCCCGCAGTACGTCCATACCCGTCTGGGACACATACTCTCTCACAGTACCGTGCGTGCCGACGCGTACATCTTCTCGAAGATCTCTAACGCCTGCCTGCGCTCGGCCTCCTCGGTAATGCCGCTCATGACTCCATAGTTGTCCAGATCCCCGACCGAGGTAATTGGAACTCCTGGCTTACTCATCGCGCGTGGAAGTCCACGTCCGATGTTCACACAGGGCTAGGCGTCTTCTCCTTTTTGCGGTCCATGCTCCTGCTACGACTTGCCCAGCCAGCCCTCGGTGCCGATCCTGTCAGGCTCGGCTGTGTGCCAAATATCAGTCCTCTGAGACTGGGACGGCTGGTCTGCTGAGCTACGGTAGCCTACTCCCTGCACTATCGCCACCCTACCCTCGTCGTACAACTCCTTCACGGGAGCGAAGTTGGGATTGAAGCCCAGGTAATTGTCGATCGGAAGGACCTGCTCCTGGGGAATCCGTATCACAGGCCTGGAGTCGTAGTAAATTTATTTCATTCATCTCCTG